GTGTTGTCTATGTGGAGGTTGCATGTTCTCCCCATGTTTGCATGGGTTTCTTCTAGGTGGTTCGGTTTCCTCCCATAGTCCAGAGACATGCTGGTAGGTTACTTTGCTTCGGTAACAATTGGCCCTGTGTGCTCTCTAATGGACTGGAGTCCCATCTTGTGCCCAGTGCTTTCTGGGATGGGTTTCATGCCACTGTGATCCTGAATTAGATAAGTGGTTACTGAAAGTGATGGTGACAGTGATACTCCATATGTGTGATGAACTTTTTTAGATTATTTCGAACCTGATTGATGACAGTTATTTAAAGTATATGATCCATTAAAATAATACAGGGTGTTGAATTTATATTTGTGCATGAGTAAACACACACATATATAATAATTGTAGTATTATTCAAATAGTTGGAAACACTATTTACAGGGAAGCTGGGCGAAAAATAATGGTCATTCATCTTCAGTGTTATCCCTAAGTTCTAATATGTTTGCATCACTGAATATAAAACAGTCTTTTCCTTTGTAATATCTTTCAATGATGTCTAAATATACTGTCAACCCAGTAACCTGTTAATTTAGTAGAAAAGCTTAACTGTAATGGATTTGTATGTGGCTTGCCATACAACTAAATTAATATTAGACATTAGTACTTACCTTCTTCAAATTCTTGCACAGTTTAAGGTCATTCCTAAAAGTGAAGCAAGGGTTCAAGTACTGTATGTGCCCTAATATGTTTTATCAGGCACTGCACAAAGGAACACACAGAGGCAAACTAATTTTGCTGCCATTATTTACAGTCTCGCTTGTCAATGAGATTAATATTTTATTTCACAATAGAAGTAAAAATTCCTTCATTGCATTTAATGAGTAAGTCACTGAGTCAATTACACCTAAAATATTTTCACACTTAAATCTCCACAGCTACATTTCTTTCACTGTTTGGTTGCATGTTTTTTGTATGCTGTGTTTATTGTTGTGTTTTTCAACTTCCGAATTGATTTTGATTTTTTTTTTAGAGTGGTTACACCCGGTGTTCAAAACATCACCTAGCATTCCTTTTAATCTCACTTTTATATACAGAGGCACAAAGAGATAGTAGTGCTCTTGCAAAATAATATTAGTATCTTTGATCATTCTGCACCTGCCTGTTCCACATAGTGGCCAGTGTGTGGAGCGTTTAAATGGAGATTTTCTACTTGTAGAAACATCTGATCACCCATTACAATTCCATGCACAGTTGGTGCCCCTGATATTTAATCTTTACCAGAGGTTGGACAGGAGGCCGTTCTGAATATGACCAAAGTGAAGCCTCATTGCATGTCATCATCCAGTTTAATGTCAATGACATTATAGATTGGAAGGTAGGAAATTCCATGTCTCTTTTTCATAAAGGTTAAAACAGGCTCTTCAATACCTAGCTTGAAATACTTTAGAATTTCAGTAAAATACTGTTAGATTCCTGGATCCAAACTCATTTAGCTGCACTGAAGAGACGTTCTTAAGTTTAAATTTATTATATGGATAATGTCTAATATGACAACCACCACCCAGAGAATTTACAAAAATAAATATATTAAAATAAAAATAAATACATAAAAAAATTTTCAGTGCTTCCACTGGTAAAGGTAAAATGACCTTAAGCACACTATACCAGATGTTTAAACTGTGGGCCACAAAAGTCATATATCCAGAAGTGCCAATATCCTTTGAAATTGCCCCACGGGTGAGAAGCATCTCAGAAACGAATGAGATGCTTAGAATCACCCCTTAGTGTGGGTTCTGACTTAAAGACATTCAGTTATAATCCACAAAATGGTATCTTTATTTGAATCCCAACGTTGTACAGCTCTTAACTTTTTTCAACCAAATGTGATTTATCCACCCAATCTACAATTTCTAAAACTGTTTTTAAGTCAGTCATCTCTAAATGTTTCTACAAAAAACTAAATTGTATCATGCTTAAAAGAAGCACAGAATGATAGCCATTACATGACACTGCACAGCATAATACCTTGTGACTTCCATGCAGTTTTGAATTTTGTCCCGTCAAGAGGCCCCTGCATTTGATCACTGCAGTGTTGTACATTCAGAACAACAATCACCACAAGTAGAGTTCTGTAGCATCTAGTTACTCCTGTCCAGACAATTATACCTTACCCTTACCATCGCCATTCATCTCAGTGGTCCACAGATAACTTTGATTCTTCACTAAAAAGAGTCCATCTCCATTGCTGCCAAGTCCAAATGAGATATTGTTCGCACCACCTCATTATATTGTGTCAGAGAACATCAGTGAACACTGATCCCATGTGTGGTTGTCAGGCCTGCAACAATGAGTGTTTATCTACTTCTTCACAGTTGGAATTCTGATGCACAGATTGTTATAACCAGATGTTTCTGATGCTGTGGAACTGACAGCATGAAAACGATCATGAAGATGGAGTATGCTCATGTGTCAATTTTGGAAAGGTGTTATGACTCATGGTCTTCCAAATTGCAACCTATCATTGATTGGCTGTATTTGGCTGTAAGATCTTGGCAGGATAGAAATTGCTATCTGTGAACATCCCAGAAAATGAGTGACAATGCTCTGCTTTAGCCTCCACCCAATCAATTGCATGAAGGTGGTGTTCTTATTTTTGGTTTTCATCAGGCCTGACATTCAACACGTTAAGGTACCTTATCATCTGTGCCCAGTCAACTCTGTAAATAATGACATGAATAGGTGATTATGCAATAGTCACAATAACAGTATTGTTTTACTCTTAGTCATGAGTGTTCAATTTATTAAAATAATGCCAGAAACATTTAATCAATATCCAAAATTGTTATACTGTATTTTTCTAATAACATGCATAAATAGAATAGTAAATTTATTTTCATGCACAGCATATAAAGTACATATAAACAGTATATACAATATACTGCACTTTCTGTATTTTTACTCCATGTTGAGTTTATAACTCTATTGATGAGACAAGCTGTTAATCAGAAGCTTTCGGTTATATCAAAGAGAAACATTTATCTGTTCAGAGAAGCCAACAAATTCTCTGTACCCTGAAGTAATTTGTGATTTATCAGACCAAACACATTCTCTCCCTAGGTGTAATGCTGTCCTTGAAAAAAGGGGGCAATGTGAGCTGCCGTTATCCTTTAACAGTTTATTATTAAAGATGAGCTACAGTATTTACTTATTGAGTTATAGTATTAATTCACTAGTATACCAGTGCCCAATTCTTGTGGCCCAAGTACCACTGCTAAACACAAAACGCACAAAAGCCACATGGACATACAGTACAGTATGTCAATTTTAATCAAATGTAAACAACAGTGGGTAAGGAATGACCGTCTTTAGTAGAACGGTTATGGTTATGGTGTCTGTAGTATTCTTTGCATCAAATCTGGGGTGGGGAACATTGGTCTTTGAAAGACACTATTCATTCTGTTTAATGGGTCGATGTGATATAATGTGCTGTGTTAAAATGTTCATACATACAAATGTTAAAATTAAAATGTTGGTTTTATCTGGTTTTAATCCAATAAATAACTGAAGAACATAGATAGAATGGAAACCTGAAGATACTGTAGCCCCCAAGGAGCAGAAATCTAGAGACCTTCTGTGGGTTTATTATACTGACAGACTGCACAAGCATTATCCTGGATATATGAATGTATTGTTGATCAATGTCACTGTTAGAGAGTATGCCAGGCAAGCATTTAATGCTGACAAGGTTTAGGCATGTTAAAACTAAAAATATATTAACTATTTTCAGTATCTCAATACTGTAAGAGGAAGGAAATCAAGATTTGGTTCAGAAAAACTAATTTTATTTTTTTTGTTGTTCTATTGTAAATGTGTGGGAATCCTAATGTTACAATCTTACTTTTAAAGAATTCATTGTTAATGTTCTAAAAGATTACTAGTTAGTTTACTTAATTTCAGGTTACTATTGTTATTATTGTTGCTTATTAACCTTAGACAAGATCAGACTTTCTCTCAAATCCTTTTTTTCTGTTTTAGTATTAAGGCAGTTTCTGAAGTCCAACTTATTGGATACATCTAAGTAAAATAAGACTGCAGAACGCTTTATCTTCAAAGATCCTTTAATACCAACTGACATCCATCTATTATAAAGGGATTGGTGCTTCTTACTGAAAACAATGAAAAAAGAATACAAAGTTTAACCATAGTCAAAACCAATTTCATCACAGATTATGAAATAATTTAGCTGGTAATGCACTGTTTTTGAGGATTTGGATGGGGAATTTTAAACACTTGAATGAGACAGCTTTGGTGCATAGAATTTAGGAAATCGTTTCTGTAAAGCTGCAGATAAATGTGATTCTGATAATACTTTAAAATAAAACAATTATATTTATGCTATTAAATTGCATAAAAATAATTAATGTATACATGCATACAGTGGTTTGAAACTATATAACAGTAACATGGTCAGCAAATGTGGTAGTAATTATAATTAAAATAATAACTTATAGAAAATATATTTTATTTCTGCATACTGCTTTTTCACCATGTAGAGTATATAATTAAAGGGAGTTACATATGGGACTCCTTCATCTGCCTTATGGAATGATAAGGTATAACAGTTGCAAATAAACATTTATATGGGAAGCAAGATAGTGATTTCTTAAACAATCCATCTTTTTTATAAGATACAATTCAATAAGGAAAGCAAACCTTTAAAACCTTCTTAACATTCAATGTGCAAATTGCATCTTTTCTGTTTAGAAGTATTTCCTTCAGATAATTCCCTGCCCTTCTTGTAATTTTGTCTTTCTGAATATTTTGGAACACAAGTTGTTAATGTTACTTAGACTTTTATTGTTTCTTTTTTCTTACCAGGCACCAGTAGTGCTGAAGTGAAAGAGAACCGAAATGTTGGTAACTTAGAGGACCGTGCCATTGTTCCTGTGGATCACCAGGGATTCTATTGTACTGATATGTCCCGAAGTGGGACTTCTGGTCTTAAAAGGAAAAGGCCTCTGGAGGAAGGAAATAGTGGACACCTCTGCAAGCTACAGTTGATCTACAAGAAACTCTCATGGTCGGTCACACCAAAGAATGCCCTGGTTCAGCTGAATGAGCTGAAACCTGGTTTACAGTACAAGATGGTTTCACAGACAGGGCCCGTGCACGCCCCTGTGTTCTCCATTGCTGTGGAGGTAAATGGGTTCACGTTCGAAGGCACTGGCCCAACAAAGAAGAAAGCGAAGATGAGGGCAGCCGAGCTCGCGCTTAAGTCCTTCGTTCAGTTCCCCAACGCGTCACAGGCTCACTTTGCGATGGGAAACCTCAGCAACCCCTCTACAGACTTCACCTCCGACCAGGCAGATTTCCCTGACACTTTGTTCAAAGAATTTGAGCCATCAGCCCGCAGTGATAACTTCCCGTGCTATAGGTCCACAGAAAATGAATTGCTATCCGGCACTTGCCGGCACGGGAGATTACTCTGCCACACGTTGGACTTAATGGTCCAAGCCAAACAAAACAAGCAGAAGACGGCGTCCCCGGCAGAGAGCGAAAAGAACCCAGTGGTGCTGCTAAATGAGCTGCGACCAGGACTGAGGTACATTTGCCTCTCGGAGACTGTGGAGAGGCAGCACATCAAGAGTTTTGTAATGGCAGTGAGGGTTGATGGGAGAATATTTGAAGGCTCTGGACGCAGCAAGAAGCTGGCAAAAACCCAGGCAGCACAAACAGCACTGCAGGCCCTCTTTAACATCAGGTTGGCACCCGGGGGGAGGACCAGCCATATACCCAGCAGGAGTAAATGCCCTCATTTACCGCAGGTGAGTGTAGCCAGCTTGACACTGGCAAGCACTATAGTCCTTATGGTACATTATGACAAAGCGATGCAGCAAGACTGCTGAGATTTGTAGAGGGGGTTACAAATCTTAATTAATGGGGAGGAGTAATGGGGAAGGGGGTGTACATAATAGGCTGACTTACTGTTTACTTTAGACAGGAGTGTGTGGCAGATCTAAGCAAAACATGAAAGTGTAGTCATTGGGAAGCCATGGCGATGAGTAAACAAAATCTGCTCACTGATCTATTCAGACGTAGAGCATGTTAATGAAGCAAATTATTGTTCTTGTGTCTCTAACACCAAAGAAAACAGTGTTGCTCTCAAATTAGGTTTTATATGTGTTTATGGAGCTGTAATTGCCAAAATATTGTAATTTTCACAGAATCTATTGCCTCCTCATGTGTGGAATCTGGATGTCTATAAACATTAATTTAATCTGTAGCCCACAGGATATGAAAAGCAGAGAGCAAATAGACAAACCACAAACCAATTCCCACAGTAAATGAGGAAAATATGTAAATTGCAATCAGAACAGAGGAAGTAGTGTTTTTAAGGTAATCTTTAAGTTTTGAAACACAAAAATGTTAACTTGTTTATTTTGAAACAAATGGTTTGACTTTTTTTCTGTCTTACAATTACTTTATTAACAGATTATTTTTTTGTGCTGGACAAATCCATGTGCTTGAGAAACAATGATTTTCTTCTTTCAAGTAGTTGTAGACTAATAGATGTACCGTGGTCAGTGGATTTTCCGACTTCTTAAATCCCATGTATTTTGTGCTCAAATGAACTGTTTCAGGGAGATCCTTAACAGCAGTACTATTTTGGTGGGCAGATGCCAGGATTAAGGTGATTCAAACAATCCTTGACTTCCCACACCATAAATACTGATGGTGGCTGCTGGGTGCTTGGTGAAATTGGTGGCAACAATTGGAACTGTGTCCACCCAGCCATTTGTACATAAACATATTTTTAATTTTAATATTTTAATGAAAGTACAGCTGGAATCAGTATAGCAGTATAGCATGGCACACCTTTTTCGACAGTCCTTAAATATATCTTGTATATCTTGCCTTAATGCTCTCACTGTTAGTGTTTTGCATAACTCCAACAATATATTGTGATTTATAATATATCAGTTGCTTAGTGGATCATTGTTTGATGCATGATAACTAATGTCTTTTAAATGTAAGCATCTTTTTAGTAACATTGAGTTAACAATGGAAACAGATGTTTACAGACCTTAACATATTGAGTATTAAACAGCTGAATAGCTGGTAAGGAAAAAGTGAAAGAATGTATATCTGATTCTGACTGGGGATAAACATTAATCTGTCATAGCGCAAAGATGTACTGTAGGTGAAGACTGATGGGTTTCTAACAGGTTGACAAGTGTTCAACTGTACTCACTCAGAATTGTGCTGAGATTCATTTAGGGCACTTTGAAGCAGCATGACAATGAATAAAAGAAAAAAATAATTTTAGGCTTAGGTTTTGTTTTATGTTTCTTTTGTAGGAAGTGAAAGTTAAGTAAGAAATGATTGAGATTTCTTCCTTTTTCTTCTTAAAGGTTTCATGTTTCTGCATGTACAAGTTAATCTTGTAACATAGTAGGAAACTGTCAATAAAATAATAGACTATAAGACTTGTTACTCCAGTATGTAAAGAATTCATTGTCATATTAAAATGTGCTATAGGTAAGCACATTACATTATAAGTTTCCCCAATAATCTGTGTGTAGTAATTCAACATTTCAGATCATATCAATCCTAGTGCTTCTGTGTTGCATCTAATTATAGTTTGTTATGGCTAAAAATTAGGTCTCTGTATGCCCCAAACTTTTCTTGGGAAAGAGTTACATGTATTTAGTAATTTGACACCAGGGGACAATGGCCAGTATTCTCAGTACAAGTGTTTCAGTCCCCTGTAACCATTCCCAAGTAACATGTTTTCACTTTTTTATGTGAGATATACTGTAGCACATTGAAGGAGAATTTGATCAGCACACCTCACTTTTAACATTCGGCCTTCCATTGAAGATTACGGGTGTTTTAAAGGAAGTTGATTTGTTAGGAAAAAGGAAAAAAGTTATTTCGGGAGGCTGTGAAAGGCATCATCAAAAACAGAAAAGTACAGAAAATACAGACTCAGCCCCTGAAAAGACTTTCTGTCCTAGAATGTACTTTACTGTCAGTTGCATTCTGTAGTGGTAATCTGTGTTCATTTTCATTTTCTGAGTCCTTTGTTTGAAACACTATCGGACACAACATGGAGTATGTAATTTATTTTATTTTAAAGTAAGACCCGTGAGTGAAATAGAACCATTCAGTATTCAGTTATCCCATTATTATAAGTTTTTAAAAGGTTGATAGCTCTCACAATTAGCTGATACATGGCAATCATTTTACAGCTGAGAATGAAACAGCATTGTGCATGGCAGGAGTTAATGTGAGTCCATCCCTGAGATTCTGTCTGTGGAGATTTGGGGAGAGAGAGGAAAGAAGAGATGAAAGGGTCACCTTCAGAGGAAAGTGAAACGACAGCCAGAAAACCCATGACGAGGGACAGAGAATATTTTCAAGGCAAAAAAAAATACCATGTCACAGTGAGTTGCCCTAGGCAAATATGGACAAGGGCTTACCATACACACTACTCTCTTCCAGTCTTAAATGAAAAATGGAATCTTCATCCAGACTGTGTGCAATGTTGCACACAACCCTTTTACCAGAAATAAAAATGAGACGTATTAGCGAGACACGAGCTTTATTTTATATGGTCAGACACTATGAACAAAGGAAACACATTGCTACCGTAGTAACAACAATGCTATGTTGTCATAATAAATCTAAAAAATACAGAGTTACAACAACAATAAAATATAAATAACATTTGTGAAAAGTACAACTTTGCAGAAAGTGAAAAAGTATTCTTTTGTGTTATCATAGAATGGTTCTAGGATTGATCACAGGTGCTTCCTTTCAGTTGCTGGCTCTGCAGGACACAAGTTATGGATGTTGGACATCCCCCTTAGAACCTTACTGACTTCATATTGTGATGTCTACCAGAAACCTTTCCTGAGTGTGTTTATTCTTAATCGCACTGAACTCAGGCCAATGGACAAAGGAGGCTACTTAGCCAACCCTTTTTGTTTGTTTGGTAGTAGAGGGCTGATGTAATGATACTTCCCAGCCAAGTTTTAAGGAAGACAAGGTATAAGCTTCAACAGTGTAGCTGAGTAGTTTGTTCACACGCATATGTTTTCACATGTTTTCAATTTAATTCATGCATCTGCCATAAAAGTTTCATTATATTTGTAATAAAATGATTAAGCATAAGTGATCAAGCATTGCTTGTTCGTTAAATTGGTACGAATTCCCTCTCATTCGCATACAGAGGTCATAGTACTTTCATACGTAGAGACACAGGAGGATTTTCAAATGTATAATGCTCATTTGTATTCTTTGTATTACTATTAAGGTATGTACATTTTGTTTTGTGGTAAAATGTAACGTACACAGTATATGATACAGTATAAATATGATACCCATTTGCATGTCAAGTGGTGGATTTCAAATATAATTTTAGCACTGTAATAAGAGAAAGCCATTTAATAGGCCTACTTTTGGATCACTTGAGAAGTGCAGCCTCAGGTGATGAATGGTTATTAAGAATTAAAACAGCAAAAAAAAAAGATTTTCTGATTGAGTTTTCCCCTGTTTCTTAATAGGTCCCAATAATAGTGCAGGTTCCAAGTCAAAACATAAAGAAGACAGACTCAAA